CCCTACTCTACACAATTTCAACATTCTTTCCAATCCTCTACTCTACACAATTTCAACATTCTTCCCAATCCCCTACTCTACACAATTTCAACATTCTTCCCAATCCCCTACTCTACACAATTTCAACATTCTTCCCAATCCCTACTCTACACAATTTCAACATTCTTCACAATCCTCTACTCTACACAATTTCAACATTCTTCCCAATCCCCTACTCTACACAATTTCAACATTCTTCACAATCCCCTACTCTACACAATTTCAACATTCTTCCCAATCCCTACTCTACACAATTTCAACATTCTTCACAATCCTCTACTCTACACAATTTCAACATTCTTCACAATCCTCTACTCTACACAATTCCAACATTCTTCCCAATCCCCTACTCTACACAATTTCAACATTCTTCCCAATCCCCTACTCTACACAATTTCAACATTCTTCCCAATTCCCTACTCTACACAATTTCAACATTCTTTCCAATCCTCTACTCTACACAATTTCAACATTCTTCCCAATCCCCTACTCTACACAATTTCAACATTCTTCCCAATCCCCTATTCTACACAATTGCAACATTTTTCACAATCCGTTACTCCACACAATTTCAACATTCTTCCCAATCCCTTACTCTACACAATTTCAACATTCTTTCCAATCCTCTACTCTACACAATTTCAACATTCTTCCAAATCCCCTACTCTACACAGTTTCAACATTTATCCCAATCCCCTACTCTACACAATTTGAACATTCTTCACAATCCCCTACTCTACACAATTTCAACATTCTTCCCAATCCTCTACTCTACAAAATTTCAACATTCTTCCCAATCCCTTACTCTAAACAATTTCAACATTCTTCCCAATCCCTTACTCTACACAATTTCAACATTCATCCCAATCCCTTACTCTACATAATTTCAACATTCATCCCAATCCCTTATCTAACATTGCATCACCCTTCTCCTCTATCCCTATTTCACACAATCTTAGTGTTCTCCCCAATCGTCCTACCTCACGTGATATTGACATTCTCACCAATCTGTTTATTATTATCTTGGCATTGTTCCTAATCCTTTTACCTCATATAAAGTTGGCATTGTTTATAATCCTCTTACCCCAAATGAATCTTGGCATTGTTCTTAATCCCCTTACCTCCACATTCCCTTGACATTGTTCCTAATTCCCTTACATAATATGACATTTGCTTTGTCTCCAATCCCTCTTTATAACTAGTTCATAACTTGCCAAAGTATCATAAGAAAGAAGTAAAACAAAATGAAAACAAAGACTATCATTATAAGAAAGGTCACTTTTAAGGAAATACATTCGTTTTACCAACATCATCTCTCTTTAATTAATCATTTTATTTGATCTTCAATCACAGACACAGAGTCGGAAGATAGGAACTTTAACTTGCCCGAAGTTTAACATACTTGCATTTCAACAACATCACTACACTTTCATACATATACTACATTTGTAGAACACTGGTTTAGGTGATAGGAACATCAGTTAAAAAATTCTATAAACTTTTTATATAAAATATATTTGGTGATTCCACAATGAAGCTCAAAGAACAAACATAACACTCGACTTAAATATTTTTTTAGACCAATTAAGTTCTGAATTTTGAAAAAATGTATAGCCATATTCTATGAAACTGGTGATATAACAACACAGCTTTACTTATTTTTTATACAGTTACAGCACATTCTTTTATGCTTATCAGCAATTTAGAATATCTTATTAACAAATACTGTTCAATGTTTTGAACTGGTTGTTTCATATACAAGACAATAAAGAGGTGAGTCAAAGTACAGTTAACCCATTTTTACCAATATCAGCAAGCAATCTAAGAACCAATTACTTAATTAACCTTTAAATGGCTGGCCCAATAAAGACAGATTTCAATGCATTGTGGTACTTGTCTTTTAAAGGCCAAAATGTGGCACTTTCACAGATCAAAGGGATGACCACAATGGCTCTGTTGCACCTTTCATACTTCTACCAGGAAAACTGTTATTTCCTTGAAAATGTTCAACTAGCAAAACAAAATTCCATTTGAAGTGTGTTTAGGTGCAAATAAAATGACAGATTAAATGGTTCAAACAATTATTGTAAGTTTTTTTACAAAGTATGCATCCAAACTTTGAATTTTGAGTCACTTTAATATAAAAAGTGCTATAACTTTTGACATACCTTGTATAATACACTTATCACGTACTGAAATCAACAAAACATAACACACTAGCTTTCTTAGATCTGATGAGTAAAATCAATTTCTTCATGGTAATTATAAAATTAAACTCTCAATATTTAACTATCTTTTCCTCAATAAACAAAAGGCACCATCTTGACTACACCTATATAGGCAGCTAAATCGATATCACAAGATATCAAACTGTTACTTCAAAGCTGTGACAATTTCTTGTAATTTTTCTTTGAAATATTTAATTGTATGTTCTCTTTGACAAGATTTTTATACAGATGAAAATTTCGTTGACAGCAAGGGCACCCAACTGCTGAAACAATGCACTCAGATCATTATAAGTAGTATTGTCTTAACATTATGACTAACTAGTTATGTTTATTACTACATATATATATATATATTATTTTTGTAAGTAGTTTGCTGTGATCAAAAGTTAATATTAACTCCAATCAAGGAACGTCACAAGACTTTAATATCAAACTATGATATTTTCTCTCTCTCATTATCATCTTGCCTTCTACAGAAAAGTTATAACTTTGTTCCAACTGTATGCACTTCCTAGCATGATTGTTTCACTTTGCTAATATAAAACAACATATTCCATGAACAACCTTGTTGTGATCTACTTTACAATCATTTTCCTAAAGGTCAAGTTAATTCTGGTCTGCATTGCCCTCTTTCTAATCGGTAGGGAATGATACCAAAAATTATTTGTTGGTGGTTTCATCACCAATAAAGATCCATTTTCTAAAACTAACTTTACTGGCTCAATTTTCTTAAGGGCATTTTTACCACGTGCATCTTTATGTCGAAAAATAAAATCTCGAGGCTGGCCAAAAGAGAGAGAGATGATAGGACTGTTGGGGTCTAGATCTTTTTCATCATCACGATGTTCTCCCATGTGATCATTGCCATCTTTATACCTGTTGAATGAAAAAACTTTGTTAAACTTTCTTGAAAAACTAAATCTGTACAGTTATACAGAAAACAAAGTGTTTCATTTTTATTATAACTAAAAGCAATATGTAATAAAAGATTATTTGGTTCCCATCACAACCATGTTTAAGAACGACGAATTAATTTCTCAAGACATGTTTTATTTTCTTTTGTAATAACATTTTTTACACTGTCCACATATACTGGTTTCAATACCTAATAACTCTCTTTTCAACTCTCTCACACACGTATGACAGACAACAGTATTTCAAAATTAAACTATTTCTATTGAATGGCTTAATAAACACATACTGCATTACATCTTTGAAATGATTTAAATATCCTCTTACTGTAGTAAGTCTCCTATGTTGAATCATGATACAAAACAGTAGATATTTTGGAGAAAATATTTGATAATACAATTCACACAAAGCAGAATTAGTATTCATATATGGAAAAATACCACAGAAGAATCTGCCTTAAGATGAAACAAACGAACATATACTAACCTGTCTTAAGATGTGACAAATTAAACTGTATAAACCCATCTTAACCCTACAAATATGGGGCGGGTGGGATTCACCCAGCTCATAACCACAAAAGTATCTATGAGAGTAATTATACTATAATATATGCTTATCTTAATATTTTGCAGATTATCAGTAAACATTACAAGGCTTTAATACACAAAATATTAAGTTTTTAAATTACATGGTAAGATTTTTTTTATTAAAGATTTGCTTGTGAATTTTTTTCCAATGTGCAAAGTAACTTTGATTTTAAATATAAAAAGATAATCATGAAAAATGTTTTTGAAAAAGCTTTATATTTAATCTATTAACTCTAAATGGTGTTGGTCGATTTGACCAACCTCGTAACCATCATAAAAATTAGGAAATAAATCTGAATTACCTTTTTATTTTTCTAGAATAACTACAAATTGTAACAGGAAACCATAAATGTTTATTCTAAATAGCTTAAATCTTGTAACAGTATACATCCATTTATATTTATTATTTTTTTTTCTTCTTACCTTTGAACTGTGTCTGACTAAAAATACCCTAACACAAGTTAAAAATCACATGGTGTATGTGCAGCTCACATTACCGTATCGAATAGTGTAATACACAAGCTGCTGGTACGTATACCCCCTGAAGATTTTTATTATTTTTCTTTCATTACCTTAACTAATAAGTTTCTATTTTTTACATTTTAGGTACTTTTATAATAATAAATAGTGAAAACAAATAAAAAAAAAAAAACTTAGTAATTAAATATCAAACATTTTTATTTTCATAATGTTTGGAGACGGCTTGAATGGGTAACGAAGAAAAACTTTAATACAAGTTTAACATAACAGCAAATGTACAATGTTTCGACAAGGTTTTGTCATCATCATCATTTGCTGTTATGTTACTCTTATAATAAACTTCAGTTACCATACATTACATATGTACATATATATATTATTACTATTTACAAATAAATATTTCAGTTATTTTTCTTAAAACACAGAATAGTAAATAAAAATGATCTCTACTACTTACGATGTTCTGAAGGTTTTTTTTGCACTCATGAGTTGTACTTGCTAACTTTCATTTGAGGTCATAACCCTCAAATCCTTGTCCAAATTCACATATGGATGTAGAAAAAAATTTTGTAGATTTCATAGATGCATTTTTGAATACCAAAAAATTATAAATGACTATACTGATACCACAAAAATTTATTGTAATTTACCAGGCTTCCTAACTATGCTATATTTTGGTCTAAAAAAATCTAATTTCTGTTCGGAAAATAACATTGATCATAGTACTTCAAACTTTCCAACAATATAAGAGCTTTTCTCTGATAAATAACTTTGAAAGACTAACAGAAATACATTGAGGAAATGCAGTCCTTTTGATTGGTTATAAACTTATAAATATAGAAAAGCAGGCATAGATAAACAAATCTTCTCAAATGATGAAGTGGTGGGCGAAGTCAATATGGTGGATTCAATAAATATTCTGATATCTTAACAAATAAAAAAGGTACGAGGTTCTTATAATATATTCTAGCTTGCCAATATCAGAAATTTGAGTTTATAATTTGTATGTATGTCTATTTTATTGTGGGCATCATAAAATGTAATCTGACCAAACCCACAAGATGACAAACCATAGTGGCACATAAATATGGATATTTAGCTATTTTTTTATATTTACTCTCAAATTAAGATATTAACTAATGTATAATACTAAAATTTGAATTACAATCTACAATATGGCACCAAGTTTATTGACATACATTCATAATACAGCAGTTCAATAACATTTTGAATGTAAATGGCATGCCCTCTGAACCCTACCTGTCTTGATAAGGTTAAGATGTGAGAAAATATTGTGATCCAAGAGCAAATGCTTAATAGATCAACCATTCTAGTTGATATCTTTGCCAACCCAGATTGTATTTTTTGTCCACTTAAGAATGATAAGGAAAGATGACACCTGCTTGATAAGATCAACAATGTCTGCTTTATTGATATCCACTACCAGAGCCAAGTCAAAAGAACAATGAGTGACAGTACAAACAGTGAGGACACAGATGGCAATGGCCTACAGAGGTATACTGAATAGCATATTCATAGAGGGAGCATGCTGGTCAACCAGCATTACTACTCCTACATGAATCTGTCACAAACCTTCCTTTTCTGTATAGCAAATTATGCAAAATGGTGATAGTATCAGTAATTTTTAACAAAGTTTCCTGTACCAAGATACATTCAGGATGGTTAGATCCAATCACTGCCTTAAAGTAATCTAAATTGCTATGATAACATCAACAGTTCTACTGTATCAGTTTGGCCATTTTCACTTAGATTTTTGAGGAGATCTAGATGAGGAACCCTTCTATTAAGATTTCCAACCACTTCTTTTATTTCTGTTACAAGAAAACCTATCAACCACCTTAGACCCTGCCCTGAAACAAAGAGGCAAATCTCCATTGGATAGATGAATCTTTCAATGGATAACTTCACACACAGAATAGCTGGATCCTTCAAGTGTCTGCCTATGAGACTTGCATGCTACTAGCATTGAGCTAACTTCAACCCAAAAAGCACATGTTTAACATGAACTGCACCAGTGCATGATGACAACATCATGTGACAATAGCCCTCCACCAATATGAAGTTATTGCTCAGTAGCACCCCATAAGCACTTGCTCTCGAAATAACTTCATTCTTGGATGAGGCAAAAAAAAAGTGCACTAGAAGTGGGGGCGATGGGTGGGAAGGTGTGTGGAGGTGACTATCTATCAGAAATACATGTTAATTTCAAGTAAAGAAAATGTTAATTTCCAAAACAATACCTCACCTCTACATACTAAATAGCTAAAATCCCACACTGAAATGGTGAAGAAGTCAGTACAAATATTAAACCTAGATGAGTGCCTTTCAGAAAGTGCCCAAAGGGAAAACCCACGTAGTTTAACACGCAATGGCAGAGACTCCATAGAGGTACACCCGTGAAGGACCACACCTTGTTTTCAGTGGGGTATACCCTTTACCCAAAAGAAAAGAGAGGGAAAACAAAAAAGCCTCAAATGTTACAGGGATGGATGGATTTTTAGCATGGCCAACCTGAGCACCAACACACAAGTGGTTGGCGAGCCAAGAAGTGTAGTGTAGTTAGGGTACAATCAGATTTGTACAGTGTGTTTCTGACCTTGACTCAACTGGAAAGACATATGAGGGTGATAAGCTTATTCTGCTGCAAGAGGAGGGCACACTAGCTTTTTGAGGGGTGACCCATGCTACACAGAAAATGCAACCACCACCTTTTCCCACTGTACTATGCTGTACACAATCAGTGAGGTCTTCTCCAAGATTCACCATCAAAGTGGCTAAGAAGTGGTAAGTAGGTCTCTGTGCTCCACTTGAATAAGGGTGGGGGAGAGAATTCTCATTGGGGAGACCCAGAGAAGTGCCCAGATCTTCATCAAACTCCTACCAGAAAGGTTTTCTACTGGAGACAGTGCAATTGGTGACTGAGAAAGCCTATACTTCAAAGCTGGCAAGCAGGAGCCAAAGAAGTGGGCCATTTCACTTCCCTAGTGTTGGCTTTTTCTATGATAGCCCATAGAAGGTATGGTCTAGACAAGGCAACTAAGTAATTTTAACACCATGAAGATACCTCTAATGGTCTCGTGGAACACCACATCTTGACAGTGAGCACTGGAAAAGCCAGGGCAGATAGTTTGGATGCTTTCCATTACCACTGGCCTGATGCAGATTTAGGGAAATAAGCATACCCTAGAAGGCAACACGACCCACTTGGCAGTATCCTATAAGAGAGAAGTGGCTGAGATGAGGGTAATGTAAACAAAAATATACCTACCATTCTCAAAGACGGTGTTTAGTTTTATTGAAGAATAGTTACTGGAGGGAGTCAAAATCCTATAGGAGACAAAGCATCCAGATGATGAAGATAATGGGAGACAAGCATGTGCAGATTCATCCATATGCCAGCCTGAAAGATATCATCCAAGGTTCATTGAAAATGAAAAGAAAAAATGAGATAGTTGATGAGTCTGATGTAACAAAATGTGAAAGAACATTCACCCATGAGAGTAGCTGAAGTTTTAGGAAGAAAGGCCCAGTCTGGATAGAGGAGGAAGTGTGGAAAAAAGAGTGCAGGAAGCACTGATGTCATAAACATCTGAATGGCAGTGACCACTGGTGAGAAGGAGATGGAAATATGTCTTCAGAGAAAAATGATATAATAAAAATGAAGCCTGCAACTCAAATGGAGCACATGTAAGAATGTAAAAAAAAACCTTAAGGTCCCAGTCAGGCATGGAAGTAAGATGAGGGGTCAGTGAAGAAGGAAGGATTGGAACTAAGTGAAGAAGGAAAGAAATGGCGTATTTAAGTGTTTTACACTCACAAAAAAAGAAACCTATCTTTCTCTAGGTGTTTGAAGAACTTGTAGCATTCCGTCACAATTTAATTTGGAACATGCCCAACAGATGGAGAGAAGTTCATGTACATTGATGTGGAGTGAACATTCCCTCAGAGCCATATAGTCATTCAAAGATGTTCCTCAGCCCAACAGATAAACATCTGTGAAGAGATGGAGATCTGATCTGGGAGATGGCAAGGGGATGCCCACTGTGGTATAGGCATGGTCAAGCCATAAAGAAAGGTTCTCGAGAACAGGAGAAGGGAGGCACACAGTTGAGGACTATGGACCCACAGAGAGCATTCACTGGTCCTGCAAATTCTACTGGAGGAGGCATATGTTCATGTGGCCTAAATGAATGAGTGGATTGAGGGAACTCAGAGTTCCTAACTGCAAAAGAACCTCCTATGCAGGGTGTAAAAAAGAAACTTAAACCTTGTGAAAAGGCATTCCATTGTTCATAGGCAAAGTGGTGAAGGCTCAGCTCAACTGAAACAGTTGAAAGACACACCCAGATTCGGTGACGAGGAACCCACTTTGAGACTAATAATGGCT